AGGAGTGTAGTGGTGGACCCACGTTTCGTCAACGGTTACGAATCGACGCAAAAATTCGCTTGGATTACGCTTATACAATGACAAATTTGCGGTAGAAATGTTTTTTCGAATCAATTTTTGGTCGACTGTTAGCAAACGCGGCACCCATCTTGCACAGAGCTTTTCCATATGCAAATGTTGGTGCAAAATATGTTGCACACGTTCATATGACATCTTACAGGTCTCAGCTATCTCACGCACTTTCAATCTGCGGTCTCCCAGCACTATTTGATGAATTTTTTCGATCATATCTGGAGTTGTGACCTCAACGGGGCGTCCTGAGCGAGGCCCATCAGAGGTGCTCACACGACCCTTTTTAAACTCGGAAACCCACTGGTTAACGGTTGAATATGACGGGGAGGATGTCCCCAGTGTTGAGTCCATCTTTTTTTTAGTTTCCTTCGGCGTTAACCCCTTCAAATAAAAGTATTTGATGACAGCACGATTTTCCTGCTTTTCCATTTTTACGAAAACCACAGAGGCGTCTTGTTCAGCGTGCTGTCAAACCTACACTAGCAAGGAGATCGGGCTGAAACTATAGCTACAAGCTATCCAAGGATGGTACTATAGTATGTCACTTCAAGGTAGGCCTAGTGGCGTCATCTCTTGGTTAGGCCGGAAACTTATCAATCCACCCTCGTATACTGTATCGACGATAGTTGCTCATCTGTCAGTAACACATGTTGCAGTAAAATTCAAAACCTTTTATTCATCATCACAAAACAACAAAGTAAAAACCTTGAATTTAGGCACCAAATCTAATTAGAAATGTTTTACGATTTGTTTTGAAAAGCAAAACAATAGCGAATTAATAGTTTAACGCGGTTCATTAGCCAAGCGCATAAAAACTGTAAAGTCCACCATTACTTTAAATAATTTTATGTGGTTTATAGTTGCTCATCTTAGAAAACAGCGGTTCTATTGACGTTTGTTGCTTTCGAAAATATTGAGAGAATATTATTTCAAAACCTCGTTCTTTTGTAACAAAATAAAAACAGAATAGAATTTGCGAATCAATAATTTATTCTAGAAACCAATTGGGAAATTAAACCACACTTAAGGTACTCATTAATTTCTAGATTCAACCGTAAAAGTTTATTTCGAAAAAAGAAACAATAACCTCTTTGTCAATCTTTTATTCTATCGATTACGTTTAAGATGAACAAACAAAATAAAAAGAAAACGAACGAGAATGAGAAAGGCAGCAACATTAATAAGTACCTAGTATTAGTTCTTTGTGTGTTTCATTGAAAGATACTTTCCATAACGGTAGCCAGTTCCCATCTTATTTTAATCTTATTAATTACTCTCATTGTAAGATTATCTGCATCAGAATTATTTACAGTACGCTTAATATGAAATTACAAACTGAGTTCATCGCGCAGGCTATAATTTATTAAAGACAATTAGATAATAATTATAGATGTAAGCTCTAATTTTCAAAAGGTTAGCCATTGTTAACAACGTTTCCGCATTTCTACGTTTTACCAGTTTATCTTTTCTCATCTTATAAAACTAAAAGTTACTTTACAGTATCTATATAATTTTGCATTTACTGAATAATATGATCACTAAATTGAGTGGTTAGTACCTCGATAGATGACAGCTCTATCGTTCTATTACGCCGTAAGTGTCAGCGGTATTTCCCCTTTTATGAAACTTTATATACCTACCTATTTTAGTGTCAATATCAATCATGAAATTAAAGCAACCGTTATCTCAAAAAAAAAACAGCTAAATTGCTTTTTGTCAAGCGGATTTGTTGAAAATTAACTCCAATTTACTTGTTTATTGCTGTGTAAAGCATTCTTTAACTGGTTAGTTATCTAGTGAGGTTATATTGCTACTCATATAACGCACGCTAACTTTTTTAACGTAGGTATCACATACGATGTTTCTTTTTTCGTAACAATTTCATTCAAATCAAACGGTAATTAGTGTCATCATTTAATGTTACTTTTAGGACAAGATAATAGGGCAATGTTGCTATTTTGAACTAATAAAAAGTGAGTTCAATGCTTGAGATGCGTGTACGTATTATCCTTTGATAATACGGTCCGTTCAACTCGTACAACTTTTTAAGAATTTATTTTAGTTTTTACTGATCATTTCTTTCGATGCTAAAAGTATTAAAATGTAATCAACAAAAATCTGTTAGCAAAAGCGCTCCGGGGTAATAATAAAAGAAGGTTGTTACAATGAACTCGGAACAAAAATTGTATGTACGTAATAATAAGGTAACGGGATATCCCAAAAAATGATTTAATATTATAACCAAGTGCGTTGCTCTTTCTGATACAAGGTTATAGTAGGTGATTTGCTCAATTTTCAAAAGGTATAATAAGTCCTTAAGGCAGTATAATGACGCAATAAATCTTAAAAATCACGAAATGTAACATTAATAATTACCACAACAAGAATATAAACAGTAAGACTTTAAGATTTAATTATGATTGAAATAAATAGTTATATTGAGAATATTATGAATTGTATAAATATGAAACACTTTGACATTTAATAGGTATTAACACGAAATATTAATGTGAAAATTCATCTTAATTTTCTCCCACTATAAACTACCTCAGCTTTACGCACCAAGGCTCTGACCACTAAGCTTAGCTTAGAGCATTGGTGCGTAAATCCAAAGATCCCGGGTTCGATTCCCGGCAAGGGTGAGACAACAGCAACAAATTTTTCCCTAACTAACCTGAGGTAAATTTTTAGAAAATACTACAAATGGCGCAGTAAACGCCATCTGTAGCACGATGCTACATTTTAGGATTACGTTTGCTCCAACAAGGTCCACTAGTGTGGATATCTACTTGCTGAAAACGAATCCCGGCGTAGCCAACCTCAACGTGATAGGCACGTTAGCTTNATACGGACCACTTCGAATTATTTTATTCGATTAAGCTAACGTGCCTATCACGTTGAGGTTGGCTACGCCGGGATTCGTTTTCAGCAAGTAGATATCCACACTAGTGGACCTTGTTGGAGCAAACGTAATCCTAAAATGTAGCATCGTGCTACAGATGGCGTTTACTGCGCCATTTGTAGTATTTTCTAAAAACGTACTGTTAAGACAGCAGGTAAAAGTTGGTCTGTGTTCTGTTGTGCTGCCTGCGACGCGCTGATGAGATCTAAAAAGATCGAAATCGCGATCCGCTTCTGGCAGTATCGACAGAATACAGATACAGACCACTTTTTATTTTAACCTGAGGTAGTTTATAGTGGGAAAAAATTAAAAATGAATTTTGACGTTAATATTATCAATTTTGTTAATGTAGTTCAACAAATATCTGCGCTATTCTCTGCTTTATCTCATCTCTAGTACTTTATCCATCTTGATTTATCTCCCGCCCTCCTTATAAATATCGAAAATAGGCTTCTTCTTCTTGTTTCTCCTATTTTTATATTATTACAAAGTACAAACGAGTATAATATTGGAATATACTTAATATAACGTACTAGAAAAGTATTATAAAAGGTGAGAAAGAACGTAACATAATCGCGATTTGCTTCGAAATTATAATGTCTTCGGGCTAGTTTCGAAAGTGGGTAACTATGTAGTTAACATAGGGTAAAGGATGTAAAGTTCGCTTACGTGCTTGCACTTTTAATAATACAAAATCGTGCAGTCTCGACTGGCGACGATTGCAAATCTCTTTTTAACAAATTCCCACTTCACGTTTCCGTAATTGTTACTTAATGTGGTTCACTACGAACTGCAAGTAACTGTGTGGAATACATATCGGAAACTTTATACGAAAAACATGTCTCAAAAATAAGTCAGTAACTAACAGCAGGAACAGTTCCAAGGGAAGAAAGTCTGACATTTCCTCCCGGTGTAAATTGGCACCCGGGCCTAAGACGAGAGCGCCAAACTCCCAGGAGAGATGCTGTATTTTCTTCCTAAGGACAGCACGCGATTTTTTACCATACTCTTATCCCGAAAGTAATATTTTTCTAAATTTTAGGGACAAGAAAGTGCAATATAACTTCCCAAGTAAGAAATTGCGTTTATTAGGAAGATATTTTAATATCCCCAGAGTAAAATGCACGCAGAGGATAATAAAATCCTTTGCTAAAAAGTAACAAATCAAATTTTTACTTGGGAGAGAATGTTGTACTTTCGTCCCCCAAATCAGGGAAAAATATCGTACTTTCGGTAGGAGTTTGATGCATTATGCCTACCTTTGAGAAAAGTTATGTAAATAAACTACGGAAAAATTAAAAAAAAATCATATCAATTTACGCAAACGTTTTACCTACGGTTGACGACATATTCAAAGCAAAACATTTACCTACTTCGTTAGTCTTATTTCATGACATGTACTTTAAGAAATTTATGGTTAATGTTTGATATTAATCAGTATTCCAGAATATTTAAAGGGTTATATCTAGGGGTACTGTAAAGTACGTCACCACAACGTACCGGATGTAAAAAGTATGCATAAAAAGTACCCCAGTTAACTAACCGTCAATGATTGAGAACAGTTACCGCGTTATCATATAGACTTCCGGCGAAACACACATACCTATTCGTGACCTTCGCAAACAGCTGATACGTAGACAAGTCAGTTGTACGCAATGATTAGTAATAATCTGCACTCGTTAGCGTTCGATTGGTAAAGTATTACCACAAAATACAAAAATAAGTTGAATGTAAAAATATCAAATAAAAACCAAGGTATTCACATGAAGAATATAAGAACACGGTAATCACATATGGATGGTGTAATGAGAATACACCGTCCATATGCGAATATGCGTCATCGTCATCATTGCCGGAACAGTTGGGGCTTTCTCCAAGGTCACTATCCTCATTTTTATATATATCACTGAGTGGTGCGAGATGGCTTATTCTACTTCGTTTTCATGTACCTTCTTTTTTAAATTTCTTTTACAATGTGATTAAACGTTATCTATATTTGCATTTGATTTAGACAAATTCGTTTTAGATTGGTGGAGGAATATGGGGTGGATGTTTTGCAACCGCTACGGGTTTCATAGGCATAGTGGCGACGTCAAGGGAATGCTGTGCCCTTAAAACCACCGCACAAAGGGTCGCTCAAACTATTTTCCTCGCCATGAGTTTAATCACTCTGGCGATTTCGCAACTAGTTTTGGTTGTTGCAGCAACTGGTCTAGCACGAGACTTTAGAACCGATGAAGGTGAAGAAGAAAAAAAGGTAAGACTCATTTAAATTACGACATTGCAAAATTGTTGTTAGGTAATTAATCAAAACTCCATCGCTTAGGGCAGGGATGGCGAACCTTTACGAATCGACGTGCTATTTTTATAAAGAAAAGTTTAATCAGACGTGTCATCAAATAATTTTGTGTTGTGATTATGGGGAAAATAATAATAATAAATAATATCAACTCAAAATTATTTATTTACTACAAAAAATAGGAACATTTTGCAATGTTCAAATTATACGTGAAATTTGAATTAAAGTAAAATTAGTGTGACTTCTGTAGTTGCAGATTAGATGACAAATAACTTATGTTAGGGTTGTAAGAATGCATGCTGAACTGGAGTCATCTGTCAAACGATTTCTAACCGAGTTTTTAATGTTATTCGTCTCTGAAAATAATGACACGCAGGCATAGGTTGATGAAAACATTGTTGAAATAATATATCAGCTTCTTCAAATAATTCAATCTGTTTGGTAACGTATTCCATGCTTCCAAAGTTTTGTTATTAGCATTTTCTCTTGTATTACCTGTCAATCTTTCTAACTCTTTCCTTGTTTCAACAAATTTTTGATTCCATATTAACTAGACTGGAAATAATTCAGCTGCATTTCATATTCTTCAATTTCCAACCTATTGAATTGGGACAAATTCAGTTTATCAAATGACGCCACATCAGGGTACATAAACTTGGGTACTACCGATAATTCTCTGGACTGAGAAAATCTCGCTGAAAATTCCTTGATTAAAGAATCAATCACATAAACAAATTCTTCAGTAACTTGATCTTGGTCTGGTTTCTCATGTATTTCTAAATTGTTGTTATATTTTTTCAAATTTGGAAATAACTTGTAGATTCTTTCGATGATGTCGTTCTTGAAAACTGGCAGTTTAGCCTCAAAAGCGCTAATGACATCTCTATACCTTGAAGCTTCACTCAGGGTTGCTCGTCATGGAATACCTACTTCAGACTTTTTTCATAGTGCATAATGAAATTTGTGATTGAAATTAATGTCGTGCCCAAAATATTGTGCCATTGGTTCGCCATCCCTGGCTTAGGGAAACAGCATAAACTTATAAAGACAAAATGTTTAGAGGCAATCTTTGTTTTAAAGACAAAAGAACTGCTACATATTAAAAGTGATTATTATCTAAAAGATTAATGGTTCATGTCTTCGTTCTCACAAGCTTTCCATTAAATACCACTCTCTCTAACTTCCCTAACCACATTTAAAAAAATTCAAAAAATCATTTAAACTCATGAAATTTTAATTCTCAGTTGACGAATTTTCATCGAGAGGGTTAAGTTGAAACCGTTGAAACTAGTCTAGAATGTTTATAAACTCTAAAATTCTGCAAGGTGACAAAATCATACTAACAAGTTATCGTTAATCAAAACCTGATAAGTATGTGACAATAAGCAACAGAAGCTGCAGGAGTTAGAGTATGAAGTAAGAACTAGAGCCGCGTGTTCAAGAAATCTTCGGAATGAAGGCCTTATGATGATGCCTTATGAGGCCTTATATTTAATTAAATATTTGTTTTATATGCCATGACATGTCACCACATTAAGCACCTGCAATTGCTTCCTATTGGAATTTTTAATTTTCATTACATTACCTTAACAATGAACAACAAATAATTGCAATTGCAGGAAGAAGACTCTGCTCAAACTCGGTATTATGTCATTAAACAATTAGAAGTCAATTTTTGCTACTTACTTGTCTAATTTCAAATGAGTAACCTTACTATTTATATAAAAAAATAAACGCTAGTGAAAGGAATATCATTTTACAGCAAACATATCAATTAAACAGCGTTTGATTCAAGATTTGGCGAAATAAATTAATCATTAAATAAACTTAAAAAAACAATAATTTTTTATTTAATTTTTTTATATTCAAAATAGTTAAATTTTAATAGAAATAAATGAAAACAAATTTCGAAACTAAAACGCTACTTTCCTTTTTAATTTTATTTCATTCGTAAGTAATAGTCCACTAAAAATTAGTAGTTCCTTAATCATTAAATAAGTAACTCAAGAGAATTACTACTTCAAGTATTTTAATAGTTTTATAAATAGTTTTTCAGTCCCTTAATATTCGGTATCCAATTGTATTCGGGATGTAATCTTCGGATACAAAAATCCATCGTATCCGGTTAGTTAGAGAAGTTTAACAGTATTTTCACTTTTAATTTGAAATGTTTTTATTCACTGTGCCTACATCTTATTTAATTTTATTGCGTTATTGTGTCAAGATTCGCTCCAAATACGCACTACTTTTCACGCCTTATATTACTTCAATTGTATCAGAAATATCAATTTCTAATTTTTCTTATTAAAGAACTACATGAAACTACCAAGGCGCTCGACGGGCATGTGCTGGGTCGGTTTTAATTTTTCGGTCCGAGACCGCAGACAGACGGTGCAATACCTGGTTAACCGCGTAAAAAATTACAAATTAGAAGTACCTTACGTAGAAAGCTGAACGCTTTCTCCATATCATCATATCCAATTTGCATTTTCAATTATAATACATAGATATTAATGAAACAAATTTAATAGTATCTATAATAATAATAGACCAAAACCACTATGGTCTTAAGCATTCACGTCATGATTACAAAATTTAGAAATGCTAAGATATTTAAAAAAATAATTACCATTTTTTGGCATTTAAAAAATGGATAACGTTTTTTAAGTAACTTAAGTATTAAAATGTATCAAAAAATATATATACCAGAATGTCAATCTCAAGAAAATACTGTAAGGGGAAATCAAAGATAAGGAAAATTGGCTTCTGCTAGAAAGGGAAGACAATAAAACCTTTTGCATGTTTTTTTTGGGTAGACGTAGACTCCGAGTCTATCCAAAAAAATAAAGTTCCAGCAAATTAGGTTTTACAGGTACATGGGCTGTAAAACCTAATTTGCTGGAACTTTAACTACACTTACCTCAGTCTTGATTTTACCGTAATCATTAATTCTATAGTAGTAAGTGCGCAATTAAATTAAACCTAAATTAAATAAAACGTATGTGGTTGGTCTTGGCCTCAATCTGTAACAATATTTTTATAATTTACATCATTCCAAATTTAAAAATTAATGACATTATTGATTTTATAAAAATTATTCCTTCAATAGGTAAAAGGAATATTAAATAATTTTCATTGACATCTGTTTGCTGAAGTTTCTTTTCATATAAAAGCTCCCTATTAAGTTCATCTAAACTGTAGAAGTTTAAATAAATACTTTTTCCGTGTACGCGATTTTCTATAATATAT